GGTGTTTTTGCGTTGACGAAATTTTTGATCGGCATTTCGTATCGGCATTTGGTATCTTTTCTTTCCCTTTTTTGTCCGTGTTTCTTTTTTTTTTCTTGCTATTATTGAGACAATTCCGAGATATAGATTTCTTTTTTTTTCTCTTCATTTTCCCTCCTCATCCACTAATTTATACCGATAAATGAAGAGTTATATTTTGCGAAAATATATATGAATTGTAAAAAATAAAATCTGTCTTTTCATTCTTTTTTCTTTTTTTTCGATAATACCGGTACAGAAATAGTGTACTTCCTTTTTTTAGGGGGAGAAGACAGGGCAGGGAAGGATTTTTTTGTTTGGAAATTTCGCCTGACGGTGCCTTATTTTTTTGCCGAGCCGCTCTCTCACTCTTTCTTCCTCTAGCGTTCTCTCTCACACGTTCTCTTCTTTTTTACTCTCGCTCTCACTCTCCCTCCTTCATTTTCACTCTCACTTTCACTCACTCTCTCACTCTCTTTCGTATTGTTCTTTGTTTCTTTCTCCGTGTGTGTGTGTTCGTCGTGCTTAGTTGAGGTCTCGGTCCTCTAAGTACTTGTACTCGAAGGTAAAGCCTTCCTTTTTACGCTGGCCCCACTTCTCGTAGTCGAAGTAAATGTACGTCCCCTGGAAATAGATTAAACGAATTCCAGCAAGTGCACGAAGAATCCCCGAAGAAGGTCCATTCATCAATACGGGCATTGGACTGTCCACTTAATTGTCAATGTTATCTAAAGTGTATAACGCATTTCCCGAAAGACCTATGCCGAATGAGATTTTGAATTTGATGTAAAATAAATGGTGATGGTTACCTGCTCGTATTCCTCGTTAATGACCTTGGGCTCCTCATGCCTCTGGAACCACATCATGTACTTGGTGTGGAACCTCCAGCTCTGCTTCTTCAAGGCCTTTGCGGCAAGATACTGACCCTTCGAGCCTTCCATGTAATAGAAGATGAAGAAGAGGGTCTCCGTGGAGAGACGCTGGAAGAACTCGACCGTGTCCGAGTGGGGAAGTTGTACCTGGACAAAGAATAAAAAATAGTCACGCTTGATGCATAAATCGAAACATATACAACTGAGTTAAAAATTCTAAACAATAAAAGATCTAAATAAATAAACATTAATATACGGATCGTGTCTATATACCTGCTGGTAGTAAGACGGCGTGGGACAAAGATTTCTCGGCAAATAAGACCTGAGCCGTTCTGAGTCCGAAGGATGAGGCATATGATAATAGGCAGCCTCCATCATCTGGAACTGAAGCTGGTGCTCCTTTTGCAAGGGCACCGGGCCTAAGGGCGCAACGCCCAATAACGGCGGAATGTGTGCCTCGGAAGTGGCGCTGGTGGGTTTCACAGAGCCGTCGAAGATGTTTCTGGATGGCTCGGACGCTGGTATCTCAAGACCTGCTCGGACAATGACTTGTTGGGCAATAGATTTAAGCGAGGACATGCCGTCAGGAAGCTTAGGGATGAGACCGTTGGCAGTGGACGGTGCTGGTGAGCACGAATTGTTGCTGCCATTGTTCGTGCTGCTGGTGTTATTGTTGTTGTTGTTACTGTTGGTATTGCTGTTACTGTTACTGATGGTGTTGTTGTTGTTGCTGCTGGTGCTCGTGTTGATCATAATTGGCTGTAGAGGCGAGCTGCGACTACTCGTGGTGGATTGTGGCGAGGTCGACAGCGGCACCGGGGTGATGAGTTCCGCTTCGCTACTCGTGTGGTTTTGACTGGGCAGACTGTGCTGACCGTGTTGAGATTGAGATTGCGATACCTGCTGGGACACTTGCTGCACTGGCTGCTGCAATGGGACTATGGGTTGCGATATTGGGGCGATCTGCACCGGCTGTGCTACACTCGACGTTACGCTCGACGATGACGATGACGAGAGCAGACCGTTTTCACTGCTATGAGCTACAATATCCATTGCACAATTCAAGCATAAGACGTAGTTCTACCTGGTGCATAACTACGATACAGCCTCGTCGTCAATGTGAATACTTACAGGATGTTTTACTGGAGGTAGAATGGATGGTTTGGGAGTTGCTGTGTGAGGCAGCGACGGTGGCAAAGTTCCCGGCATTACTCGTCGCAACGTGATTGCTGATGGAACTGGGCGAACTGTGGCTCGATGTCATGGGAATGGTCTTGCTCGGAGTGCTGCTTAACAGCAGACTCGGCTTTATGTTGGCAGTGCTTCCCGTCATTGGAATGCTCGCCTGAGAGTTCATCAGCGGTCTCACCGCCATTGGTTTCACAGGCTACCAAATAAAGGGAATGGATAAATAAATATTTTTAACCGCGTTCGTGAAAGTAGAATCAAATTTCTGTAGAACAAATTTGAAAAAATTACTAACCTTAGTTTTCTTATCAGTATCAGTGGAACTGTCGCTCGAATGATTGTGCATAGTAGAGCTAAGCGGCGGCGATGGTATTGGTGAAGTACCAGAATTCGTTGATGTCGGTGTACCACCGGTTTCGTTACTGTTATTACTGTCGGTGGTCGCCGATGATGGTATACCTACGCCGGAGAGTTCCACCTCGTCGAGACCGATAATATCGTCGTAGATATATTCGTTCTCCTCAAAGTCAGGTTCCTGTGAGGATTCAATATAATACTCCACGTCGTCCTTTATCCTCTTAATCTGTAACAGAGAGTTAGCAACACCTTGTATTACACATCCACTTAAGCTTTAGATGTAACAACAACTCAAACCAAAACAAACACTCACTGTATTGACTTCGACCGACATGTTGTCCAACATCCGGAGGAGTGTTTCGAGTTTTCGGATGTGGTATCGGTGCTTCTCAAGCTTCCCTTTAAGCTCGTCCATTCTGTCTTGCTTATCTTTATCCAATCTTTTCTTCTTTCCTGCTAATAGAGACTCGATCTCCGACTCAAAGGTGTCGAGCTATATCAAACATAAACAATAGATACGATTCCGTCAACGTGAAAGCTTTACGAATGCTAATTCTTTTTTTTTGGTTCACGTCGTCTAATATTATCATCGCGTATGTAAGGTGTATATATAACTCGCTGTAAATATACAAGTACGAACTTGTAAGTTAAGAGCGTCTATAGAATTTGCGAGCCAGTTGCTGACTTCTTCTCGTTCCTTTTGCGCGGGATCGAGTTTTTGCGCTGCTCCCAATCCTTCCTTAGAGTAAGCCTTCGTTTTCGTCTCCCTCTCGACGACCTTAAACCTTTCCATTTGCTGAAAGGTGCAAATAAGCATGTTTTATACGATTGTAATCGAGGATGATAATTAAAGATACGTTCTACGCGATTTAGTTCATGCTTCGACGGATGGATTTGGATGGACCGGATGTTAAGGATAGATGGCTTACAGTTTCGATTAGCTTCCGGTAATCGAGAAGCGTGCTCTTATCCTTAATTTCGCCAGAAGCGATCCAGCTCTTAATCTGGTCGCGTAACCTCTGCAACTTCTTGATCTCCTTCTTAAGATCGGCCTCGTACTTCTCCTTCTGATTGCTGTTCGTGGCATTGTGGACCTTTTGCCAGATGTCCTCGAATGTCTCCACGCCCTCCGTTACTTTTTTAAGGCACCTGTCTATTTCACCTGCCGTCCGACATACACTCGTATCAATATATATCATGCTTATGGCATTATTAGTGTGGTGCGATTGCTATAACTACATTTGATGCTGGTATTGCTACTACTAAGAGTATAAGAACAAGACAGAACTACAATAATAAACTTTTCTTTAGAGTTTATCATGTGTACTATTTTATTCAAAGTTTCAATGGTGTTCACAAAGCATGATTTTAGAGATCAAATTTAATACTATTGTAGCTTAATGTATGAGAAGAAAAGATATTCAGTGTCTTTAAAAGAAATAGTAATTACATTTCACTGATAATTAAGCGAAACTACTTTACGTAGAACTTAAGAGAGTTAAGTATGACATACTTTTATTGAAATGTTAATATTCCTCAAAAGTAAGACAATAAATTTCTGATTCACAAATTGGTAAGTTACTTCAATGATGTTCTCTATTGCTAGTGATAAATAAGATAAATGTCTTTGCGTCTTAAACTTATCAGTCATGAATAGTATATGGCAAAAAAACATACGATTGAAATAGAAGTTTATCTCAAAATTAATATCATAATGTAAACTAATGTCTGATCTTATTAGGAGTATGACGTTTTGATATACAATGTACATAAACAATTCATCTCTTTGCATTAAAGTAATATTAAACTGATTGAATGCTTGAAAAATACTGGAATATTTCATATCCTGTTACATTTTCAAGCTTATCTTAATAGCCTGTATGTAAATCTCCTGAAAATATAAAAAGTTTAAGTGATAACAATTGAATCTACAGCTTTCATCTGCAATACAAAATCACATTAGAAAATCCAGTAATAATTCAACTTGACGCTTCTAACAATACAAAGATGAAAAATAATATCAGGTATAAACAAAAGAGTGGTAGCACAATGATTCATTGCAAAATGATATTATCCTTACATAAAGAATAACAAACACATCGCAATAATCGCTATGAACCCTAAGGTTAAAACAAACAACACAACTGCGACAGACCTCTTCCAACTGATAGTTCCTAAAAAGAAGCCAGTGCATATCAAAAGAAAAATAGCCATTCCCACAACTAAAACCAAAACGAAAAACCTTCACCAGTTTCGTGCTTCAAGAATCATTCCACATCTCTCACAACCGCCAGGACGAGTTTGTATAATAGATATTGAAGATACCCACAGTGAGATTCATCGAAAAGCAAAGTTGCTCTAATTTCATAGAAGAGAAGCCAAATTTTGCCAAAGATATTTTGAATGAGGTATCATACCAAACTATCGCGGATAATTATTAATGAAACGGCAGAGAGGCAGGATAGGGTGAAATCCATGGCGAAGCGAATGTGGAGTCGAGTCGAAGCGGCAGTAAAGAGTTTCTCATAATCGTAGATGTAAACATGATGGAAAGAGGTTCTCCTCACCTTGCAACTTTCTCGTCGCAGCCATGGCTATGTAAACATATGGTAGAATGATTCGGGCATAGTCTGGACGTGGTGAAAAATAAATACAGCGAAATGTCTCGCTATTGAGACGAGTGCGAGTCGGTGAGATATTATTCCCCGTATAATATGGGAGACTCGGGCACAAGATGGCTTCCGTTTTCAAATGACAACGAGCGACCGTCCGCCACAGAAGATGGGCCCGCCGATTTGGCCCACGATGAAACCTTTAACCTCGTTCTTTCCACGCCGATCTTCTAGATCGACCGGCTCTCCTTGATCGCCGACACGCTGAGATACGCGGACGATGACAGCATCGGTAAACGATATATACGATTTTACTGGATAACTCGAGCGGTATATTATGCATTGGCGCATACACACATACACATTCTAGCGATCCTGCTTCTACGCACACACCATATGCGATCTTCTGCGTTCCTAAAGTGTATGAGAATCTTCGACCAATCCACGTTCACGACGTTTATAATCTAGAACATGTCGGCTGCTCTCATTGGTCGTTGCATTTTGGATACACGAATATGTTACAGTGATCTCTTTTGATACGCCATGGTTCATGTGATAATTTGATAAGATTTTGCAGTTAGCTACACAGTAATTTGAAGCGGGCTTACGGTTTTCTTGTGTATTTTTTGCTCTCGCCATTGTTGATTACAGACGCTTGTGGGATTTACAAGAAACGAGAAGAGTGCGCCATAGCAGCTTTGTGCCAGCCATCAAGTGTGGGTTGTGTATCACGTCAGCCTATTAAAAACATGTATAACTCACCATTAATCATTTACCATTGTTGTTTAGTACTTCGAGCTTTTGATATAGTTGTTTGTTTCTCGTTTTCGCTTACATTGTAATTATCAATTTTGAAATGACAGATTCTTGTGGAGACCAGAAAATAAGATTACGCAGGAGATGAAAGTACGTGTGCTAAGGTTCGTTATACTGTTGGCACATAGTTAGTAATGTCAATTTCAGTCGCGCTGAGCGCATGTTTTTCGAAAGAGAAGATTCATGATTGGTTGGAAATATTTAGGGGGCGTGGAAAAAAGAGAATCAGCTGTGCAGTGCTTCACTTTTCAAAGCTAGCAAATAGCAATGGTAGAAGTTTGTTAAAACTTCAAACAGATAGTATTAACAAAGAATGCGGTATTAACTGCAGAATAAGACTCCTTCTTGAAAGACTACATGTAACAAAAACTAAACAATCCACAGCTGACTGTATTACAAAAGCCGTATTTCCGACTTTTACAAAGTTAAAGTATTACACAGCTGATTTCATTTTATCCGCCCCTTTATTCCTCCAGCAAGTGAAGGATCGTTCACTTTGAAACACATGCGCCATAAGTAGCTTAAATTATTATTAATTTTTTAATAAACAAAGAGACCTTGTTTCGTAAAGGAATTCCGCGTGTTCAATTAAATTTCTTAGTTGAAAATGAAAATAGCGACATCTGATGGGTAGTTATGCAAACTAGGGAATAGAGCTGACATTTCGTTCCAATTGCCATTTTAATGATCACAGTTTGAATGCACCATGTGCTCGTTGTGTAGAGCGTCATAAACTTTAATAATTATTTATAAAATATTGTATTATTGGTACTGTTGGCAGTGTGGCTGTTTCAATTTGTGTATTGCTATTGATGGTATTGCTTTATACGATTTCGATATCCGCAATACGGTAACGTTTTACAGGTATCAGATTTTTCATAATATTTTTATGATTATATGATTAACTAGTTAATAGCGAAATTATTTAATACGAAGAAATATATGTTTGATAACTTTTTTTCATATGTCTAAATACTCTAATTTTTCTTGGAGTCTTATGATATAAAAAATATTTTCTCAGTATAACCTATATCGTGCTATTATTTGCTTCTCTATTTCGTTCTTTTTTCAGTACATATGCATGTGTTTATATATGTATAATAATTAATTTATGTAATATTTATTAGAATTCAAGATGGGAAGAAAAGCAAAATTTGATGGAACAGTTGTCTCAACTGGTCCAGGCAGAAAAGCCAAGAAACAGAGTGATCCTACGTTTCCAAAAGGATTAATAGGTATTACATAGATATATTGAAGACACATCAAATATTGGATAAACAAGGTTTATTATTCTTCTTATAGAAAAAACTTCTGGACCTCTGAGTCGCCATCAAAAGCAAAGAGCAAAGAAGAGACTGTTAAAGAAGAATCAGAATGAAAAATTACGTGAGCCTAAGGCAAAAAAATCGAAAGTGTCTAAAGAAGTTGTTAAAAGAGAAAAGATTCAGTCTTCTGCAGATGTTAGTGTATTTTTAATCATTTATCTTTATTTACTATTATTATATATTAGTCGGTAAGAAAACTATTACATGAGGTTTGCTAACAAATAGGAGAATGAGGAAGAAGAGGATGCAGATGAAACTCCTGTAGAGGAAACTAGCGAAGAGGAAGAACAGGACAATGAAGAAGTTGAGCAGAATCAGAGTCTTGGCTTAAAAAGTGGACCAGCTGACAGTGACGATGCAGACAGTAGTGAAGAGGAGGAAGAAAATGAAGATCAAGATGATAGCGATGACGACGGCGACGATGATAATCTCCTGCCCATTGAAAAGGCCAACAAGAGATTAAAGAAAAAGCAGGAAAAAGAACGGTAATTATTGGAAGCATTGCTTCTAAATTTCCTAGATGAAATTGTCACCTAAATGCTTATTAATTTCTATAGAAAACTTGCAGAAGATGAAATGAAGGATATTGCCACGCATCAAGATATTTTCACATTTCCTACAGAAGAAGAACTTGCAAATCCAACGAGTTTAAAAGACGTTCAGCAAAGAATCCGTGATGTAATTATGGTTCTGTCAGACTTCAAAACATTACGAGATAAGGACAGGTCCGTTTGTAAAAAAACATTGCTTTAATACGAGGAATAGAGATTTTATTAAAAACTAATATTCCCTTCCATTTTGTTTCAGGCCAAGGGTCGATTACATGGAATTGCTCAAAGCTGATTTATGTACCTATTTCAGTTATAATACTTTCCTTATGGAAAAACTCATGCAAATCTTTCCCCTTAGTGAACTTCTCGAATATCTTGAAGCAAGTGAAGTACAGAGACCTATGACACTTCGTACAAATACTTTAAAAACACGACGTCGAGATTTGGCTCAGGTATCTACAGTTTAAGGATAAAGACCTTTGTTGAATAATGAAATATCTGTACAACGTTAATTTACAAATTTTTTTACAGGCATTAATAAACAGAGGAGTAAATTTAGATCCAATTGGAAAGTGGACAAAAATTGGCTTGGTAGTTTATTCTTCCCAAGTGCCAATGGGAGCCACACCAGAATATTTGGCTGGCCATTACATTCTACAGGGCGCTTCAAGTTTGCTACCGGTAATGGCGCTTGACCCAAAAGAAAATGAAAGGATCCTAGATATGTGTGCAGCACCTGGTGGTAAAGCTTCGCACATTGCTGCCCTAATGAAGAACACCGGAGTTCTATTCGCCAATGACATCAATCAGGATCGTATAAAGGCTGTAATTGGAAACTTCCATCGCCTCGGCATTGTTAATTCGGTTATCTGTAGCTATGATGGAAGAAAAATTTCATCTGTAAGTTCTTAATTCATGAAACGAAACTACAATCATTAAAGTGTCTTAAACTATTATTATTACGTTGCAGGCAATCAAAGGGTTTGATCGTGTGTTACTAGATGCTCCCTGTACAGGTAATTTCAGTTAAATCTACATTAATATTTCTTTTAAAAAATTAATTTTATAAAATCAATTTTTATTACTTATTTTTAATAACACAACTTCTTTCTGTTTTTCAGGTACTGGTGTAGTGGCCAAAGATCCAGGTGTAAAAACAAATAAAGATGAAGTTGATGTGCAGAGATGTTGCACCTTACAGCGCGAGTTGCTTTTGGCTGCTATAGACTGTGTAAATGCTAGATCGAAAACTGGTGGAACAATTGTCTATTCCACCTGTTCAATTTTACCTGAAGAAAACGAATGGATTGTTGATTATGCATTGAAGAAACGGGATGTAAAGGTCGTCCCTACCGGGTTGGAGTTTGGTGCAGAAGGTTTTACAAATTATAGGCAACACCGATTTCATCCTTCGTTGAAACTTACACGACGATTTTATCCACACGTCCACAATATGGATGGTTTCTTTGTGGCTAAACTCAAAAAGTTCTCCAATATCATTCCTAAGAAGGACACACAAAAGGACGAGGAGGAGGAGGAGGAGGAGGAGGAGGAGAAGGAGAAGGACTCCGAGTGACTGTAACGTTAATGGTAACAAATACAAGAATATGTTTTTCTGATTATAAATGATGAAATGTTTAACAAGTGGTAATTCTGTTTATTTATTTACTGCCACAGAACCTTTGAACAATAAGAATGCGTAGTGAAAACATATTTACATTGTAATTATAGGTAGCATATTTTTTCGTGTATTTTTGATATTCCTTCTCAAATTATTTAAAAATCCGTATGGTGTACAGAGAACGCAATATGTATAGTTTATACAGTTTTTTAAAGTGTATTATAAATTGAGAATACAGAATTTGTGGAATCTAATTTAGTTACTTTAATGAAAGAAAATACTTTTCAGCTGCTGTTCGCATAGCCTCTTGACTTCATCTAAAAAATGACAGAATTTTAATAACATTCATATAATTAATGCTGTCGGATAATTAATACAATTGATCAAATTACCATCAATTTCTATTAAATTTGCATTTTTCTGTTGAATAACAACGAAAAATTCACGAAGATTTGATAGCTTTCCTACTACCCAGTAATCGCTCATTGTTTTTATAATGACTTCGCCAGCTTCTTTCAATCTATGGTGATTTAAACAATGTTATTCATACATTGCAGCTATCTGGCACATCTCCTCATTGGAGGAAGCAGCCATAAGGAAAGGAAGGAAGAATACTGCAGTTAAAATTTAGAAAAGTAGTGTTTTTAACGTACTTGTTAGTATCGTTATTTATGTCCGTAATGATTCGAAGAACTTCCGGAGTTGTAAGCACATTTGAACATCTTCTGTTGTCTAAGTGAATGGTACTTTTGTAAGCTAAATTCAATTTGTTGAAATATAAATATTTTGGGCTTGAATCTGCAACAATTGTGACATGCTTCGAACACTGTTCAGCCACTGAACTAACTAAAGTTGTCAACTGTGGTCCAAGGAAGGTGTCCAAGCTTTTAAAAAAGTCCATTACTAGACTTGTTTTGCCTATGATAGAAATATTTTTAGATTGTCTGCTGATAACATTGATATAAATTTAATTGGTTTGTACCTACTGTCTACGAAGAGACATATAGTTGCACTAAGAGCTCGATAAACTACTAAATATAAAGAGATAGGTATTGTTGAGTAATTTATGTATACTCTTGGCAACTTCCCAGTTCCATTTGGTTCATTAATGCTTGAAGGGCCAGTAACGAATCTATTGGGATAAAATTGAGCGAGTCAATTATAATACTAAGCCGTTCCTGTCGTTGATAGTTTCATAACTTACTTTCCATAGTGAGAACTTGTAAACGGTGATGGTGAGTTTCTTGGCATCGAACCACCGTGCAATTCTTTCTCCAAATATGCCGGCAAAAGAGTACTTATTAGATAATTGTAAACTACTTGCATGTCTTCTGGATCCAAGCCACTCCTGTTCAAAAATTATAATTTTTAGAATATTTCTATACAAAATACCTGAACAGTTGAACAAGAATAGAATATAATTTACCAGACAAGCTGATCATTATAGAGAAATGCTGTATATTTAACTTGCGAAAACATTGCCTCCACCAGATTCATGAAGCACTGTACCCGAAGAAAAGTTGTCTTATCCAGGGGTAGAAATTGCAGTCCTTGGAAAACATCAAGTATATCACTATTGTTCAGTTTTAAAGATAGCAAGTACTGAAAATAAATTTTGGTATTTATAACTATACGGAAGTAAGTTTAAAAAAGCTGTTTTAATGCAATGTATGGAATAGATAGATACTCTTGAATAAAAATGATCTAGCTTGTGTTTTAGTAGTAGAACTGATCCACATTCAGGATCATTGAGTATTGTATCGAAGGAACCCATGAACAATCTAAACATTGTATAAGTTTGTCTAAGGATGGCCTGACAAACATTGCTGGAAACTTCTTCATTTTGATATTCCATGAACTGTGTCCCATCTTTTACTTTCCATACACGAGGAACACCAACGATCTATAAAGAAAGATTCATTACTAGCATCCCATTTGACAGCAATAGTGAACGTAATATATTGTTATAGAAAAGTTTAATATACCATAACCATCCAGAAATCTGGTTCTGGTTGGAAATAAATTTGCCTTGTTTTGTGTGTGTGGCAATAGTCGCATGCTTGTCCAGGATTAAAAGATCTAAAATTAATACAATAATTATATGGGTATTCAATGAAGATAAGTGTATTTATTTACTCTGTGAATTTTATTATTGCTTCGCTCAATCCAATATTTTTTATTTGAGAATCCAGATCTATCTTCGATGGATAGTAATACAAAATTTTCTTTTCTTCCTGTAACATGAAAGTTATGTCTCTGATTTCAGATTCGTTAGCCTTGTGAATAATTTTTAAATTCATTAAAAATCTATAACTATATTACCTCTCCTTCCTTTTTGGCATATGTTCCATTAAATACATAAAAGTGTTCCAGTGTAATTTCTGGCTTGGCAGACATTTTTACTAGTTTCTGTTAATAATATTAATCAATTAGTAAATATAAACACGTCTTGATAAAACTTTCTACACTTATTTATTAACGACGATGCTGCTGTCAAAGTGACAGCTAACCTTTCAGGATAAAATAATCGTCATAGAATGTAATGAACATAGAAATGAAACGTGCTCAATAAAATCAAACGGCAAAAAATGGTATTTTAGTTTACTTTGAATAAGAAATTTGATGAAGTTTACTATCTCATATATGAAACTTAATGCTTGTTGTCCTGACTACAGAGGGGAGCGAATAAACAAATTTGTATATTTTCTGTAAACAGGACAGATAATGAAGTACCAGAAACATTAACCAAAAGTGATTAAAGTTTCATTTTTTAATACAAAATGATTAATATTGCTCATCCGAAGGTATCGACGAAACCACCGATAAGTAAAATTCCACCATCACGTAAAAATTCGATGAATTTCGAAGAATTTCCGACCCTCAAAAAACCGGTTGATCCACCTACAAGTAATTGTAAAGAAATTGAAATGGGGATTGATGCGATGATAAAAAGTCTCGAGAGTGACGCGAAGAAATTACAAGCTACCAGTGATTGTAATCAAAATGTTATTGAACCAAATTCGTGCTCGTTTGAACAATTGTGTAGTATGATTAATGATCTCGAACGCAACACTTCCGGAGACCGTATAAATTATCCTGAGAAGAATGAAGCTCATCTTGTGGAAGAAAGATACAAGAATCAGGTCGTCATTTCAGTTAAATTATTTGAAACAGGTTTTTCGTATTTTTTAAGTATGAATTTATAATGGTATTACTTTTCATCCATGTAGGTGGAACCGGAAAAGGATTGTTCCAATCAACTTTGCAGTGCAGCCGGTTCTACCTATGAAGATATAATGTCATTTTTGGGAACGTTAGAGCAGGATGGTAAATCATAAAAATATACGAAATACCTGAAAATCATTACAATTCCACTAGTATATGATAAGTACAATGATATACCTACAATCTATTTTTTCTTAGAAACGGGATACGTCAATGACAGTCAGATTGAAAAATCGGATAAGAATTCAAAAAGCATTCTACAGGAATTATTTACTGAGAATCAGTTTCATTACTGTCCTGGTTGTAATAGGTAAAAATCATTGCATACAAATTTTCAGCAAAATTCGCTTACAAAAATACATATGCTCTTTTCGTAATATTTCTAGAAACAATAGAACCGTGAGTCTCATACCGAATACATTAAAAGAGGATTTAGCAACCGCTAAACTGCAACTGGAAGAACGAGAAGCTACCATAAGATTTTTGAAAAATGAACTGCGCACCGAACGGCAGTTAGCTTGTGAGAAAATTGAAGCACAGACAAAGCAGCACACAGCGGCTCAACAAACGCAAAAATCAAAGTATCAAACCGTCGTGAAGCGGCATCAAAAGTTCATCGAGCAGCTTCTTTCCGAGAAGAAGGATTTGTCTGAAAAATGCAATTTTTTGGCAGACCGCATCAAAGAAATGGAAGCCAAACATTTGCGGGAATCGAAAGTCGTAGCTGAGAGACATACTGTAGAATTGCAACGCGCCAGGGAGCTTTGTGCGGCTAGCGAAAAGATCCGTCGCGAACGATGGTTAGAAGCCAAAACATCTAAGATTAAGGTGTACCTTTCGTATTTTATTTATTTATGCGTTTGTCAATGGCGGTACGGTAAGAATAAATTTCATGATACATCCAAGCATTCTTTATTTTGGGTCTGATAGTGATACTTGCTTTTTGTCCAATAATTATTGTCATTTATATATCAGACACTGTATAGTTTTTATACGATCAACTGATTTTAATGGAACAGGAAATGACGGTGAAAGGTCTTGAACCGGAACTTCGTAGTATGGTTGAACAGCATCAACAAGACATCCAGGAGATACGTAGTGCACATATTAAAGAGTTACAAGACATGGAATTGAGAACTATACGGCGTTCTAATCAGCAACTTGAACAGTTGAGACTTGAATTGGTGGCTAGTCATGAAAAAATGATGAGCAACGAAAAAGAAATCCTTAGAGCCAGGTATGATGCAGTGATTTTATGAATGTACGATTATCTACAGGCATTATTATTTCATTAGGTACGAGGAGAAAATGGAAGAGCAAGAAAAGCTGTTTCGTACTCAACACAGAAAACTTATTGATGAATTGCAGCAGGAGAGAAATTTGTTTGTACAGCAACAAGCGAAGATGCATTCCGAGAAGGATGCTGCAGTGCAACAGGCTTATTCTCATTTTCAGGTAAAAAAATTGAAGTATTTTAATATTTTGAATATAATGACTTGAGGAATTCATTGTATTGTTCAGGAAAAGATAAATGCCTTGAATCGGCAACATCAAATTGAGAAGAAATCTTTTCAAGAATCGTTACGAGTTGAGCAGGAAACATGGATGGAGAATTATCGTAGGCAACAGAGCGTGAAATTTGAAAGGGCCGAAGGGAAAATTCGCGAAGAATGTAATCGCGAGCGGGATAGGCAGATTGAAATAGCGATTGAAAGACTTGAAAGGGAGACGCGCGACATGAAGAATGATTTACAAAAAAGCTCACAAAATAAACTCAGGTGAGTACAATAGAATCAAAGACGGCAGTTCTGTATTGTGTTTCAGTTATTCAATGTAATTAAATGTAATACGAATTTAAGGAGTTTGAAGGAAAAATACGAGACTGAATTAAAAGACGCTGCTGAGAATGAGCAATTGTTAAAGAGTAAAATGACGTTGATACAAAAACGTTTGAAAGATACTGAAAATCAATTGGAAATTTCTGAAAACAAATTGCGAGATTGCTCCTGCGATTTGAATGCTTGTAAGCAGGTAAGTTCAGTAAGCAGGTTCAGTAAAAGTTCATTTGTATTTTCAACAAAACTTATATTAATAATTTGCGTGCAGTCGATGGACAAAATGAAAATGGAACGCGACAATGCAAAACGCGTTGTTCGTCAAGAAATTGAAATGGAAAAACGTGGATTAGAGGAGAAAATTTCATCTTTGTATCGTGAATTGGCGGAAAACAATTCGAATCGAGAAGCTTTAATGGGTCAAGTGTATAGCAGGTATTACAATATATTGGTTATGATATAATATAATTATTTAATCAAAGAATTTAATTCATGATTTAGAATCTAATCTTGCATACTTTCGTAGAATTAAATTGATCGTCACTCAAAAGGATTTGTTAATTCGAAATCTGAAGGAGGAAGTTGAGGGAATGAAAAAACGATGCGATCACTTAGAAAAATTATTAGATCATCAGCGGAAGGAATATGTATTAAAGTCCTTATAAATAATTAATATCTAAACTGTAAATAATATATTTTCGATACAATAATACACTATACAACTATGTATATATTATTTTATAAGTGACTTGTTTTTGCTTCCTCATAGAGGAAGCTATGTGACGGTGGAAAATTGTCCTGTCGAGATTTTCATGTCACCATGTTCAGAATGTGTCAAAACGTCGAGAAAACACGTTTGGAGAAAATGTCCGGATGTATGTGTGTGTGTATGTAATGGCCTCCCAAAATTCAAACGTGTATAACTCGAGAACGGTTTTAGCTACAGCTCCCCAATTTTGCAGGCATATGCAGCTCTATAATCCCTTCATTGACTATAAATTTCGTCATGATTCAAGCTGTGACTCAAAATTGATGTCATTTTCAAATTTCCAAAAAAAAGAACGTTCGCACTCTAGCTATCGCAAATTTTGTGATAATCGTCTAAATAGTTCTTGACAAAGAGATATGTATCCAAGGCTGGTTGGTATTGCATTTGGACCGAATCGATCGAGAAGTTTTGATTTTATGATATTTTGAATTTTTCGAAAAATTAAATTTATCAATATAACTCCCGTCAAGTTTGACCGATTGAGCTCCAATTTTCGAAAGGTATAGAGTATCATTTAGCCGTGATATGTCTCAAATTTGTCGGAGATTAGTAAAACGGATCTGATTATACATATCTTCAAGTTTTTGAATTTCAGCCAATTCAAAATTATTAGGCCCGAAGAGATCATGCAAGAGATTTATCCTTACATGCGTTCTCTACAGTATGAAGCACCCCAAGTTGTGAGAGGCATGGAGACTCACGTTAAACAAGCTGCAAGTTGAAATATGCAATTTGCTTCCTCCGAATCGTAAGTAGTGTACGAAGTCCTTATATGAGGAAGCATTTTCATTTTTTTTAATCTTTGGCTTCCTCATAGATGAATTTTTATCTACTACCCATGATTCAGAGGAAGCAAATTGCAAAATTAAAATTCTTGACATCCTCATATAGGGACTTGGTACACTACTTACGATTCGGAGGAAGCAAATTGCAAGTTTCAACTTGCAGCTTTTTTTTCCCTTAACACCCAAAATCACTTAACCTTTAAAATTTATTTTCTTCAAAATCAAGCCAATTTGAAATGTAAAGTGAATTTATAAATTTTTAACCGCCATCTTCAAATTTTTCATGTGTTTCGGTAACGCTGTGCATAAATCTCGATCCACCTGTAGAATAGAAGCGGCTTCTTTTAAATATTCTGTAGCCATATTCAAATTTTCCTTGAAAAAATATTAATTTTTTAAAACCTAAAATCTAAACGCAATTTGTAATTAAATCACTGGTATCATGCGAGTACCTGTAGCAATGTTTTTGTAATATTTTTTTGCTTAAATTCTTTTTTGGCCCAGGCTACTAGTGCTTCCTGTAAGTTAAGTAAGAGTTGACCACGCCACTTTGTAGCTCCAGCATCCAATTTTTCTGCAACAGCCAAAAGTTCACGACAAAATTCAATACGTCTTTCCAATCGTTCAGTTATAATTTTATCTGCAGTGCCATATTCCCCACTGTACAATTGTGTCAGTGCATATTTCACTTCAATTACATGACTGTTGGTTTCATGTAAGGTATTTTTGTAACGTTCTAAAAATCCTTCCAATTCATTTGGATCAGTTAATTCCAGAGAACGGATTTCCGAACGAATCACTTCATCGTTCCAAGTCATCTGGAAAAAAATTGAAGTAACTCCAATAATATTATAAAAAGTTTTAATTACTTTAACGTTTGAAAAAAGTCTTACTTCATTTGCCAGTGTAATTTCACCACAGTTATTACATTTCCAGTCCGCAATACAATCCAGTGGATTAGTACTGCAAATAAATCCAGAACATTCGGAACATTTTATTGATCCTGCGTAAGTCCCAAATTCTGTAGGATCCGAACACCTGTTGCATGAACAATCAAAACATTTGGCAACTTTAAGATGAGCCCTTCTTCTAGTAGTGTTCCAAAGTGTCTGTGTGTACGTGGCCGTCAAAGATTCGCCTTTTGGTACAAATTTAGTCGTGTACAGAATAATTTCGAGAGTCTCAGGATCAAAAGTATGTCTTGTATTGGGCGAGCAATCATGGGACATCATGGCAGATTGATAATAGATTGCTCTGGCTCGTTGTTTCGATGCTCCGCGGACATCGAATGAATTGGTATCGAGGATAGCACATACCTGGCACCAAATAAAAATGTGTTATAATTTTCGATTATATCAATCTAATCATTCTTATTAAAGACTCGTAGCGACTAGGAATTAGTACAAGCGAGTAGAGTTTTAATAAAATTTAATAAAAAAATTGGTCGATCAATACCATGTGCTGTAGTGCTACCAATGGATGGTTATATAGATATTCTGAGCAGTGGTAAATAAGGCTTACGTTTAAAATGTCTTCTTCCTCGTATGGAAGTTTCAACATTTTTTTAATTACCAGTACAACGCCATAGCGGTACCCTTGATAGAGTGGAGTATTATATCTCTCTTGAAGGTGTCCTTGTAAATAATTCAGTTTATCCTTATCTTGATTGGCAAGCAACAAACACCTCAAGGGAGTCAGTATCCCGTAGGCTGGAATTTTTTCAAAATTTGCAGATATGACAGGCGCCTTGTAATTGGCCCTTACGAACACTTCGCATTCGTTAGCATGTATCGTTGCGTTTGAACAGTTCACGCTGCAAACTGGCCATCCACAACGTTCACAGTTTTCAATTACATCTCCTGAGAGTCACACAAGAAAGGTTGTACTTATAGAAAGTAGAAATTAATTGGAAAAAAAAGAAAAACGGATTAGAAAAGCATTTTTTTTAATCGCTGGTTAACAGAGTTTTTTTTGTAAAATTGTTAATCGTAGTATCTAGGAATAATTATTGGATTTAGGTTAATTCTCTGATGACCTGATCATCCTGCGTTCTGTTTCTACCAGTCTTCGTAAATGTTCCGCCATGTTTTAGCAGACATTAGAGGCACAATTTTGTGAAATTATTTTCAGAAGGAATTTCTGCATACCTGCAGGATTTATAATGGTGTGATATGATTGATTGAAATACCTTTTGAAAATTCTCGATGACATCCCAGACAGACTGGCAAAGTGAAAGACTTGGGTCCCAAGATAAATGGAGATTCACGAAGTATTAACTCTCCAGCCTTCAAATCTCTCGTAGCAATTAAGTAGCGACCATATTTTTCAGAAAATGCTACCTTTACAGGGCTGCGTTGATGTTTGTGTTCCGGCGAATGTGACAATTGATGCTCTTGGCTACAGTAAACTGCATTCTTACAGCTGCTGCACGGCAGACTAGCAGATTTCGTACATATCGGGCAATACTTCACGTCAGTCATTTTCTATAGAGAATATTATGAAATATTACGTATCATGGTATATTATCGACGTCATAAATTACCGACGTCAAGTTATATAGCTTCTGACTGTTGGTAAGTATGAAATAATCGTTTGATGGTATAATCAATTATTTGGCTGTCGATATTTCGTAAGAATTGGAAATGCTACATGATTCGCATATATCGCTTGAAAACTTTGTTTCAATTACTGATCGTTAGATAATTTTCATTCTCCATTTCATTGCAGTAAAAAAACGATTGGAATTTTTTGAAATACTATTTAACCCATTTTTCCAGCCTTGTTTCTATACATACCAGACGACTATTTCTTTAGCCTTGACTGCTGTTCATATATCGAAAGAAAAACAAAGACGTCAACCAAAGTAGATTCGTATAAACACAGTCTAATTATAAATCACAAAAACACTCATTTCCCAAACATTAAATAACGAATATCTTTCTTAATATTTTACAAGTACAAAAATTTGAAAATATACAGGCTATATATATCACATTGTGCAACGCATATTCCAAGTGTACCATTTCACAATACACGTAAGTCTTTATATAAAAAATAGAGAAATATTTTACATATTTGAAAAAAAATTGGATTAATCAAATTTATTTAAATTATATTTTAATAAGTAAGACGATGATTGACATATTTCATTGTATTTGTCATATCTTTCTTTTTTCATTAAGGATAAATTACACGAGTAACGATACTTGCCTTCGAACTGCTCGGCGGTGGAAAAGCTACTGGACAGTTTCTGTTGAGAATTTCTATTACGACATTGTTCCATTCTGGTCTACCAGCTCGTCAAAATGGAACAGAAGCTGCTGCCAAACCCATTAAACGCAAACTTTGAATTCCCTCATTCCAGAAGTCAATTTGATTCAGGAAACTATGGCGCATGCGCATATCCAAATGTCATGTCAATGCACTTCTGCCAACGATACATAACGGTTTGAGGAAGTCAGCCAAAAATTTCTTCAGACTCTGGTATCTATATTGGTATCACCAGATATGTTTTTGCTTATGGTTTCTTTATTAATTATTAATGAACGATAGATTTTACTTTACATCATTATAACATACAAGACGTTTTGAATGTTAAAGTTGTTGACTAAGGCAGATTTTCAGTATTATTGTAAACAGTGACCGTTAACCTGTCACTACGACGCTAACCGTCGCGACGCTAAGTACTAGCTGTTCGTGTTTTTTATTTAACGTAAGTCGAAATTTATATACATATATTTGGACCTTTGGTGCAATTTGATATTTCTGTGGCTCATCAATTTTTCGTATTTTGTTGTTTCGTTTTGACGTTAAATAATATAAAATTTTATATGATTAATGGGGAAACCTCGTCTGCTGTAAAAAATAAGACAGGATCTTGTGACAAAGGATCATACCCAAGGATGAATCACGTAACAATCCCAGAGATAAGTAATCAACATCTTGTTGAATCAGAATTTTAAAAAATAGCAACAAGACATTTTGTCATACACTAATTAAGTTTTAATTGTTGCTCTAATGAATGTTAGTGTAAAAATTTAATAAATTTTTTTTTCAGAATTTCATATACATATTTTCGTACTGCCATTTCGAAGTCTAATTTGGTTATAATAATAACAAGTACTATTCATTAAGCACAAGTGTTATGTGGGAACCATGATGTTCAAAGTTAATTCACCAAAATCTATTTTAACCAATACTATAAATAAATCTCGTTACGAGCGTCGTCGCAACCCCCCGCTGCCGCGACGCTAGGCGTCGTCTATCTCTATTAGTGTACGATGTAACGGAAAACAAGACGGACATAAGAAGGTTCGTATTACTTTAAGAAAAAATCTTCATTTTGATTCGAGAAAGTAACAAGTAGACAAATTTCGGGATACATAAAAAAAAGTTAAATTCTAAGAATTCAAAATTCCTAAAAAAACATTGCAACGTTGAAGTCTATAATTTTATTATATTAAAAGAAAAGTATAAAAAAACGTCACTATCGTGTAAGCCTTAATTACACATTATGACAAAAACTTATAGACGACTACGTTAATATTAAATCGATAATCAGCTAATCAAATTCCTATCATGTTTACTTGAACGTTTATAACGATTCTTAATCGAAATAACCACTTGTTTTGACATTTGAGACATTAACATCATGAATCATCGGTTTATCATGTTAAAAATTCGATAACGAAATAAAATACGAATTTATTAATTGACAATTATAGATATCGAGATGGAGGGGGAATGTCGATGGCAGAATAATTGCATCAGAGGCTCTTGTAGAATTTGCGGCAACGAAGGCGGACTTCGTTGCAGTAATTGCAGGATGCAATTTTACTGTAGTAAAGATCATCAGCTGACCGATTGGCCAGATCACAGAGAGATTTGCATCGCCTGGAAGATTCAAGAGTCACCTGAGCTGGGTCGATACCTGATAGCCTCGAAAGATCTATACCCTGGAGATACAATAATTGCCGAAGATCCAATAATTTGGGGTCCTGCGCTTCATACGGATGAAATAATCTGCATTGGTTGCGGTTATAAAAATCCAACGTCAACATGTCCAACGTGTAGGTGGCCATCTTGTAAATCAACGTGCGAAGGTTTAAAAAATGTAAACGGACATGGAATTGAATGCAAGCTTCTTGCCAAGGCAAAGATGCTTCCCAGGTTGGTAAAATTATATTTTTAACTTTAAATTAAAAATCAATTCTTAAAAATAAAGTGAAAACTTTTACTTGTAGATGCGAAATTATCCTACCGTTACGTATTTTACTGTTGCGCCCATTCGATCAGAAGCGCTGGAAGACATTAATTAAACTTCAAAGCCACGAAGACTCACGGGGATCCGGAACCGAGGCTTACGAAGAGGTCAAAAAATTGGCTGATCAAATGAGTCCATTGTTGTCCCTGGATCCGGAGTCTAAGAAAATATTACCAAAGGTCTGTGGAATTATTGATGTGAATGCACTGGAAACTAATCCACCGGAAGGGACAGTGGCTTTGTACAAAACAGCATGTCTTTTGGAACACAGTTGCGTAGCCAATACAAAGCACAGTTTTAATTTGGAGATTAATGGAAAGCCAAGTATCAAAGTCGAAGCAGCTACCTCTGTAAAGAAGTAACGAAATAATTATTTATTACAAAGAATAAGAAAAAGCTATTAGGAGTTAAGTAATTAATTTAATAATATTTTCAGAGGAGATCATCTCAGTATAAATTACACGCATGCGCTCTGGTCAACCAGAGCGAGAAGAGATCATTTGTATGCAACAAAATATTTTTTATGCGACTGCAAAAGATGTGCAGATCCAACAGAGCTTGGATCCCATTTAGGGACTTTGAAGTGTTCTTGTGAAAATGGATGGGTCCTGCCAAAGGATCCTTTGAATCAGGATACGGATTGGTCCTGTGACAAGTGTCTGTGTGTTCTATCATCGGCGGAAGTCTTGGAAATTACATACAAACTGGAACAGGAAGTGGAAGATGCATTGGCTATTGCGAGCAAGGAAGTTCTTGGGAATATTTTGACAAGGTAGATTTTACGCGCTTGATAATTTTACTTAAAATTATTTTGGATTTAATTAATATTTTTGTTTAGGTTAGAGCTCCTCTTGCACCCTGGACATCAACACTGTATTAGCATAGCACATTCTTTGATCCAGCTATTATCACCAGAGGATCCTCGCAAGTCTGAATTATGCAAAAGGATAATTAATACTACTAGTATTATCGATCCTCATGGTGTTCGACTTGGACTTTACACTGCAGTTGCATTGCGAGAACTTGCCACGTGTCCTGGAGAAAATAAAACGGATCTCCTTGTAAAAGCTATAAGACTCCTTTACAACGAACCTGCAAACAGTCCTGGTCAGAAACTATCATCGTTAATGGAGCAGCAATTGATAAGTTGACAAGAATAAAATTGATTAGTCAATATCGAGGACGCGATTAGTAAAATTTTATTTGCCTATTAAAAAATCTAAAAGTTTGTCTTGTCACAAAATTTATATTCGTCACTGACTCCAATAAATTTTATTTCATAAATTCACGTTACAATTTAATTATTTTATCTTCATTATTTTGCTACGTGATAAAAATTCTTAAAAATACTCTCAGTTTGAATAAGGACCTCTAGGTACTTTTATACTCGTTATGCTGTTCCTGCGCTTTTCAGTAGCAGTTGTAACCAGATTGGCTGTGTCCTTTCTGGAACAGCAGGATCCGATCCAACTGCAGAGTGAAAGAGCCTCGTTGAGAAATGCATAAAGGAAAGGATTTACCACAGAATTCAAGAGGGACAAAATTGTCAGGATAGTCTGAAGATGCCACCAGAATATTCCATTGATCGTGGCATAAAGTTTGTACAGTAAAAAGATCCAGTGAGGTAATTTAGACATAACGAATATTATGATCAACAACAAAATCATTTTGACAGTTCTCTTTTTGCGTGTCACGTGAGCAGGCGTTGGCATTGGTCGACGAAAGCTTGACTGTCCCCGATTACTGGCACTGGTTGATGCTGCAATACAATTGATTAAGCGTGACCGAATAAAATAATAAAAATATAATATACATATATAAAGAAACTTAATAACGTATATACATTACCAGTGGAAGTATCCGTAAATTGAGAATCGCTACTGTTACCCAATTGGGATCTCTCGCCGGGACTGCGACGTTTCCATATATTTAACGCAAGTAAAATATACACAGTAACGAAAACAATAGCCAGCGGTAGAAAAATGACAGCGAACAATACAGCATAGGTTGTGGATATTATGTGTCTGCTAGAAGAATTCGTGCACAATTTGGCTCTGTTTGATAAAAAATAAAAATTAATAAAACGAGCCAATTTTTTATCATATAAAATTAATTCATCGAACGGACCTGTAGTAGCTGGAATTATTTATCACAATTATTGTCTCGGCACTGTATGCACCTATAAGTGTATGGGATGCTGCGGCAGAGATGGACCACACGAGGATGACAAAAAGAATTGCGTAAGGCCATTTAATTCCTTTGGATATTGGATATTTCGGTTTCATTGCAGTATACCTTTATTTGTGAATTAAGTCGATTGTAAAGTTACATCTTTTTCATTTTTTTATTATCTAAGTTATTAATTCTTATCTTACCGGTCTATTGCAATGGCAGAAAGCAGTAATGAGTTAGTGAGGACGGCGACCGTTTGAAAGAATGGAATCACCGTGCAAGCCCAATCTGGTAAATACCAAAGGAAGACGCGGTTGGATTGCGAACTCAGTGTATTGGAGCCTGATGATACCAATAGCAAGAGATCAGATAGTGCTAGAGAAACTATAAAGGCTCTGTAGAAGGGTCTAAGAATAGAATTCTTGGTCCAAGATATGAAGGCTATTCGATAAATGACACCCAAATTCGCTAATGTTCCAATCACGACAATCGGCCATATTATAGCTTGATATATCACACGTGCCTCGTAAGAATAAATGAGCAATTGTGATTCCAGTATTGCACTCATTTTATATAAATTTTTTATTAATTTATCAGTATAATAAATAAATTGTTACTTCGAGAATACGGCGAAAATGAATTTGTCACTTTTCACCGATAATACAGTTTCTGTTGGGTATGAAATTAAATTTTTTAATTATTTTCGTTAATTGTACATATCAATTTCGCGGACTTTTCGTAACACCTTACAGTGCGAAATCATTGGAATCTTTCTGCACAGACAAATCCACTGCATTGTATATATTTAATTATTGATAATTAAACTGCTTAATTATGCCACTTGTTTGTAAACGTATATTGTAAAGATTTTTACAAAATTTTTATAATATCGTCACTCATTGATGCATTCAATAATTTTGAGTTAATTAAATAATGATACTTTTTTTCACGGTTTTTTAAGCTACCTTGATAATCATTGATTGTTTTTGCTTCAATGCCGATCGGCGACTGTTCGACAGAATTGATGTCACCCAGCTATAAATCCTCTGTCCGAACTATGGGTACCAATACAGTAACCTACAATAACCCGTCAGAAGGTACAACCTACACGAAAGCAGATAGCAAACGTCATGCGAGACAGAACACAGGAACATATGGCCGTGTTTGCGCGGACTTGCGCCATTAGTTACAACGATGTTTAAAAGTTCCCGTTGCTTAAATATTGTTATTGCTCATCGGGGCGAACAAGCGCGTGCCTTTGAGATTACTAGAAAATACAAGGAATACGTGAAAAAAATAAAATAAAAAATTTCAATAATTTCGTAATTTGACAGCTGTCCAAAATATTCGCTGATACTTTATATACAATAAGAACGTACCACATGACTCGGGATATGGGTATAAATAAGAATACAGATAATTTTTATAAAACAATCTTTATAAAAAAAAGGATTCGAATATTTATACAAAAGTCATGAAAAGCCGTCGGAATAGTCTAAGAGCTCGTTATTGGGGATGATTAAGATGATAGATGATTTGTGTTGGGTATGTACACGTAGAGTAGATGGATCGGTCATTCGTTTAGATGACTTTTTGATCTGGCCAGTTCGCTGTGACAGCGTAAAAAGGGAATCACGGATTATTTAATGAAAATTCAAATTAGTCGGCTGAACCAATTGACAGCGATCGATAAGCGGATACACGCTACCATTTTCAGGAAGCGTGTTGGGTACCTAAATGCATCCGGTTTCTCAATCAATAATTTCCGAGTCCTCGAGTTTGGACATTGAACCGCATTTATTGTCTGATGGTTCAAAGATCGAATTAATTTTTGCTCAATACTCAAGATCGAGTTTTCAAATATTTTTGCAATCGAATTCTTGCGCATTTTTTTTAACTCACGGTTGACACGATCTCCGTGTTCTTACTTCTAAAGACGGATAGGACAATGCGTGGCCACGCAATTGCGCGGTAACTTGGACCAAATACGATTTTCCAGGTTGCAAATTTCGCACGGTAAATGGCAATGCACGATTTTTTGGCGGACTCGATTGCTCCTCGCACAATTCGTATGTGTATTCGGATCTGCGACGTCGATGAAGTCCACACTGATCTGGTATCGTCCCCAGCGCTGTTAACAAGGATGGATTTCGTAATTCGCGAACGAGGACGCAATACTTAGCAGCGCCTGCCGGCTCGACGCCCACCGTCACTTCTCGGCACTTCCGCAACGAACGATATTCCCTTGGCGCGCTTTTCGAAGAGACCTGAAATCAGGTGTAACAGGTGTAACAGTCATTGATGACAATTTTTCAAAAATAACTTTCAGTATTTGGTCATTTTTTAATATTTTTGTCAACCTCCGGATATGTGATCGTCCCTTCCTGAGTAGCTATGACTTTGACGGAAGTGACCTTATTCAATTCCTGACGCGTCGCGGATACCTTCAGCATATATCTTTTACCGGACGGAAGTGAAGGTCCTGTTAGGGATGCGTATCCGGCGACTTCTTCTTCCTGAAAATTCCAAAAAATTCCAAAATATTTATATCTTAAATTTTTAGGTAATAAAATTTGAATTTATTCGAAGGTACCTTAAGGACCCCAGGACCTCGTAGCTTCGCCTTAACGATTCCACCGCCGCAAGATAACACGTGAAAGATAGTAGACGTGTTCCGTCGCGGTTGATAACGAAAATTGATAAATCCATCGTTTTTGCGTAAATTCGCAACAGCGTATCGACCTGTTTTCAAAATTTGTACGGGTGCTTTGCGAAACTTGTGTACTTCGTTTGCCACGCGATTCGAGACGTTATTCAGTGTACTGACCTAAGGCAAGATAATGTGAATTAAAATAATTTGTTTACCCTTCATTTACAAATTCACCCCTAAGTCCCCAAAAAATCTACCAACCACATATAAAGTAAAATTATAAGTGGTGTTGTATTCCATTCCATGAAGGGTCAATCTGGTCTGCGAAACACAATGGAGTCCTTCTGGCACAACCCTGTACTGTCGCTCCCTTGAGGAACCACCCCTAGAGGATCTCGAATGAACCTTAAGAAGATTTTGAGCAGCACACAAGGTAGATGGATGCACCTGCCTACCCGAAGTGACAGCCAAACAGTAGCTGGACAGATGAGGATTGACGTGACTATGAAAAAAAAAAAAAAAAAAAAAAAAAAAAAAATTAAAAAA